TGACTAATGTCTGAGTTAGCTCTAACCATAGAAACCACTGAGTAATGTCTGAGCTAGCCCTAACCATAGAAACCTCTGACTAATGTCTGAGCTAGCCCTAACCATAGAAACCTCTGAATAATATCTGAGTTAGCCCTAACTGTAAAAACCACCCATCTGATCTATAGGTTACTCTGACACTAATTATAGAAAGGTGACCTGTCCAGGTGGACCCCCACATGTCTGCTGACTGTCTGAGACCCCCACCCCCCATGACCCTGGACAAGGAGTAGCAGGTCCAGAGGATGAGTTCTTTACTGGGTCTTCATCCTCCATGAGAAAATCAGAGCTCAGACCCACCTCCTGAGGATTTCCTCAGCCTGCTCCTCAGAGATGTTGATCCCCAGGTCCCTCAGAGACTGCAGGATCTCCTGCGAATCGATCCGGCCTACAACACACACACGGCCGGGTCAAAGGTCAATCTGTTTTATGAAGGTCATCGTTGCACACGTGGGTCTGCATATCCTCACCATCGTTCTTCTTGTCCAGACTTTTGAAGACCAGCCTCAACTTCTTCTCGTGGTCCCGGAGGTAATGGACAAACTCTGCAAAGTCCAGCTGACCGTCCAGGTCTTTGTCCCCAGCCTTCAGGATCTTCTGAAACAAAGAGACGAGCAGGAGAGACAGCTGAGGAACATCTGGACCAACACAGAGGCCAGACGGAAGAACATCGACACATTTTACTTTCAGAAAGCCCGGGTGAACCCGGTACCAACATTAACAGCTGTTCTGTGGGGAACTGGACCTCCTCTGACCATCTGGACTCCATTCCAATTCACTTTTCAACCCTCACTGAGCACAGTCTGGAACCACAGCAAAACCAGAACAGAACCAGACACCGGACCATCAGAAGCAGACAGAGTTTTAAAAGTTCTGAATAAAAAGTCAAATCACCTTTAATGCAGAACTGATTTTTCTAATCCTGAAAAAGCTTTAAATGTTCTGATGTTTTACTTCATTTGGACTTCTGTCCAGAACCAGAAGCTGTTGGTTTGTCTAAATAAGAAACTCACGGAAAGTTCTGGGGGACTACTAATGAGGACCACTTGACCAGAACATTAGAGGGACAGATCCGGGAACTGGATCAGACCTCGAATTGCGTTTGATCTTCAGCCCCCATCGGAACATCCATGGACTCGACCGGACCGGACCTACCTGTTGTAATTCTGTCGGCGCCGTCACGGTGATAAAGATTCTGGTCTTCTTGGGAACATTCTCAGTTCTGCTGGTTCCTTCAGAGGAGCAGGAACTGGTTCCCTGCAGAGGTTTACAGTCCTGGTTGCCCTCTTGGACCTGGTTCTGATCGGGTTCTCCTTGAGCCCGGCCAAATAAAGTGTGGCAGATGAAAATCAGGAAGTCCTGCAACATCCTGACACCAGAACCCAGTCCGATAGTCAGCAGAACCAGCAGCGAATCATTACCTGCGACTCTAGTTCTGCTGCATCTTTCCTATTTCTTTAAGTAAAACTGGATCTGGTCCAGGTTCTGGCATGAGGAAGAGCCAGAATGTTCTCAGACCCAACAGAACTTGTCAGGTAGAACACCTGGATGAATCAAACCTAGAAGCTCCAGACTGGACCATCTCACTCTGAGCGGGTAAACTGGTCCGATCAGCTGCAGACCAACACGTCCTTCTTTCTGATGGAGCAGAACCAGCAGCTGGTGCTGCACTGTCATCTTCCAGAACCTGCCTCCTCCCTGCAGCCCCGGTGCAGCCAATCAGAGCAGCCCACACTGCCAGGTCCCCCTCCCTCAGAGAGGCTTCGATTTGTGCGTCAGAGCAGCTGGGGGGGCTCTGACCTGATCCATCACCCAGCTGTAAAAGGCTGAACAGAACCCAAGACTGCAGATCAGTTCTGGTTTCCTCCTGCAGGGAAACCCAAACCAGCTTCAACTCTTGTTCCAGAACCAAACGGGTTCTGAAGCAGCAGCAGGCCCGTTCTTATTCTCACCAGAACCAAAGTGAGTCATTGTTTATTACGGTAGCTAACCTGTGGATACTTTTAGCTAACATTATTAACTGTTGTTATAACTTGGGGGAGTGGTGGCGCAGAGGTTAGAGAGGTGGGCTTGTGATCCGAAGATCGCCGGTTCACGCCCCGGCCCCGACAACATCAAAATTGTGGGTGGGGTAGGTGAAACACCCACACTTGCCCCCACCCTCATTCGCACCACTCTGGGCCCATGAGCAAGGCCCTTAACCCCCACCATGTGCTCCCTAAACAGGTCTCTCTTGAAAATGAGTTCTCGTGGCTCAATGAGACTACCTGGATAAATAAAGGGTAAATGAAAAAAAAATAAAATAAATTATGCTATTTATGTCTTTCAGCTAGTGTTCTGCTCCTTTCGGCTTTCTTCAGCCAACGTCACTTCTCATTTATGGGTTCATAACAAGTTTGTAAAACGTTGTCTTCTGGCTAAAAGTGTCAAAATGTTTGAGGTCCTGAGGGTTTGACAGGAAGACCAGCCGAGGTTCAGTAATGAAGGCTTACAGCTACCATTAGCTAACAGCTAGCGCCTGACGTTTGTTCCTTTTCTTCTGTTACTGAAACTTTACTCACTTGTTGTAGAACACTGGACAAAAACAGATTTAACGGTTCTTCCCTGGTTCAGAGTTAAAACATTTGGTTAAAGTCACTTGTGGTGAAAGCTACAGAGGAACCAAAGGGCCACATGTGGCCCCAGAGCCACCGTTTGCAGAGCCTGTGATGCAGCTCCCGACATACTGCTCTCACTTCTAGTTACACACCAAGAGAGATCAGCTGTGGTTCTGATCCAGAGCATCTGAGCCGAGTCGGGTTTTCCACAGACGACGGTCCAAAAACAGACACACAATAAATAAATTCTAGTTCAGCTGTTTCCTGATAACGTGCTTAAAACAACTGATGTGAGAGAAATGGGAAGAGAAGCTGGTTTGGGAAACATCTTTAGATACAACACCTGTCACCGGTCCACTTCCAGTCCACTGCAAATAATTACAATTATTGATATTAACCAATTGGGTTGATTGGAGGCAGCACGATGGCTTGGGGGCAGCACGATGGCTTGGGGGCAGCACGGTGGTGCAGCTGGTAGAGCTGCTGCCTCTCAGCGAGCAGGTCCCTGGTTCAAACCCCGGTCCAGAGGCCTTTCTGGGTGGAGTTTGCATGTTCTCTCCGTGCATGTGTGGGTTTTCTCCGGGTGCTCCAGTTTCCTCCCACAGACCAAAAACATGCATGTTAGACTGATGGTAACTCTAAATTGTCCTTAGGTGTGAGTGAGAGAGTGAATGGTTGTTTGTCTCGTTTGTCTCTATGTGTCCCTGTGATGGACTGGAGACCCATCCAGGGTGTCCCCCGCCCCTCGCACAGTGATTGATGGACATGGGCACCAGCGACCCCCGTGACCCAAAATGGAATAAGCGGGTAAAGATAATGGATGGATGGGTTTGCTGGGAACGTCTGGCAGAAGAACCCGTCTGAGAGACCTTCAACTCACACCTCCAGGAGAGTTTTAACTGCATCCCAGCTGAGGTGGGGACACCGAGTCCGAGTGGGCCATGTTCTACACCTGGCTTGTTGAGGTAGCTTCCTTGAGCTGTGGTCACAAGGTTGTCGGTGCTTCTCGCGGTGACCATCCTTGAACTTGGAGGTGGACACCCTGGATCAGGGAGGCTGTCAAGCTGAAGAAGGAATCCTATCAGGCCTTGTTGGCTGGTGGGACTCCAGAGGCAGCTGAGGTTTACCAGAGGGCTAAGAGGTCTGCAGCCTTGGATGTTGCTGAGGCAAAAGCTTGGATGTGGGAGGAGTTCGGTGAGACCTTGGATAGAGACTCTCGGTCGGATCTGAGGAGATTCTGACAAACCATAAGGCAGATGAGGAGGAGAAAGCAGCACTTTACCAACACTGTGTTCAGTGAAGGTGGGCTGCTGCTGACCTCAACCAGTGATGTCATTGGAAGGTGGAAGGAATACTTCTCAGACCTTCTCAATCCAACCGGCACATCTTCCGTGGAGGGAGCAGAGTCAGAGGACTTTGGGGATGGTCCATCCATCACCGCGGCTGAGGTCGCCGAGGTAGTTAAAAAGCTCTGAGGCGGCAGGGCTCTGGGAGTGGATGAGATTCACCCTGATTTCCTTAAGGCTCTGGATGTTGTGGGGCTGTCTTGTCTGGCACGCCTTTGCAACATAACATGGACATCAGGAGCAGTGCCACTGGACTGGCAGACTGTGGTGGTTCCCTCTTCAAAAAGGCGGGCCGGAGGGTGTGCTCCAATTACAGGGGCATCACTCTCCTTAGCCTCCCTGGTAAGGTCTATTCAGGGGTACTGGAGAAGAGAGTCCGATCGTTGGTCGAACCTCAGATCCAAGAGGAACAATGCAGGTTCCATCATGGTTGTGGAACATTGGACCAGCTCTTTACCCTCACTCGAGTCCTCGAGGGGTCATGGGAGTTCTACATCCTGTCTACATGTGTTTTGTGGACTTGGACAAGGCATTCGATCGTGTTCCTCGAGGCACACTGTGAGGGTGCTCCATGAGTATGGGGTTGGAGGCGAGAGTTTGGTTGCTTTGGTAGTAGTAAGTTGGACCCCTTCAGGGTGGGAGCTGGACTCCACCAGGGCTGCCCGTTCTCACTGATTCTGTTCATAACTTTTATGGACAGAATTTCTCGGTGCAGCCAGGGGGCAGAGGGTGGCCTCTGGATTCCACCTCTGCTCTTTGCAGATGATGTGGTCCTGTTGGAGTCATCGTGCCGTGACCTTCAGCTCTCACTGAGATGAGAATCAATACCTCCAAATCTGAGGCCATGGTCCTCAGGTAGAAAAGGGTGGATTGTTCTCTTCAGGTCAAGGGTGAGGTTCTGCCTCAATGGAGGAGTTCAAGTATCTCACGGAGAATGAGACTGACAGATGAACTGGTGCAGCATCTGCAGTACAGTGGACTCTGTACTGGGCTGTTGTGGTGAAGAGGGAGCTGAGCTGCAAGACAAAGCTCTTGTTTTCCAGTCAGTCAATGTTCCTACCTTCACCTATGGTCATGAACTCTGGGTTGAAATGAGTTTCCTCTGCAGGGTAGCTGGACTCTCCCTTAGAGACAGGGTGAGAAGTTCAATTATCAGGAGAGACTCAAAGTAGAACCGCTACTCCTCCACATCCAGAGGAGACAGTTGAGGTGGTTCATCTGGTAAGGATGCTCCCTGGGCGCCTCCCTAGTGAGGTGCTTCGAGCATGTCCGACTGTGAGGAGACCTCGGGGAAGACCCAGGACACGCTGGAGAGACTATGTCTCTCAGTTGGCCTGGGAACACCTTGGAGTCCTTCCAGAAGAGCTGGAAGAGGCTGTGGAGAGAGATGTCTGGACCTCCCTGTTCAAGTTGCTGCCCCTGAAACCTGAATTTGGAACAACCAGAAGATAATGGATGTCTAAAAAATGTTCAATCTGGTCCTCTGGACATTCAAAAAAACAAAACAAAGTAGAAACGTTTCGTCTCTCATCCGAGAGACTTCCTCAGTCTGAGGTGCTGTATTCAGCTCAGTCTCTTAAATAGCACCTTCTCAGAGTGGATCAACCAGTTTTGCTGCTGACAACCAAAACCAGCTGATCACATGATCAAGAAGGACCATCAGCCTAACAATGGATCATTAGCACCTGATGGCTGTTTACTGTTCACAGAGGGCTGAGTGATACTAGCAATCACAGCATTGTAAGAGGGGGACAGTTGAACCTGGAGGCTCCACCCCTGTTTAATGATGGACGGTTTCTTTTCACAAAGATGGCCTCCTTTACTCCTCTCTCAAACCATCGTTCCTCTCTGTCCAGGATGTGAACATCTTCATCCCTGATGTGAACATCTTCATCCTTGATGTGAACATCTTCATCCCTGATGTGAACATCTTCATCCCTGATG